CACCATTCATACTGATACTGTCAATTGGCCCAGTGGTGAGAATCTTTGTTTTCTCAATATTGAGCTTCAATCCATATTGAAGACTGCAGTCTTTGACTTTCCGCTTCAGGTCCTCCTTAGTTTCAGCAAACAGGGTTGTGTCATCGGCATAACGGAGGTTGTTGATTATTCTTCCACCAATCCTGATGCCACATTCCTCCTCGTATAGTCCAGCGTCTCGGATGATCTGAAATGGTATGGAGATAAAATACATCTCTGACGTACCCCTTTCTTGATTTTGTGCCATCCAGTGTCTTCCTGCTCTGTTCTGAAGACTGCCTCTTGGTCCAAGCATAAGTTTCACATTAGCATGATCAAATGTTCTGGGATTCCCATTCTTCTCAGAGTCAGCCATAGCTTGTTGTCATCCACACAGTCAAAAGCCTTTGCATAGTCAATGAACCATAGATAGACATTCTTCTGGTATTCTCTGCTTTCTGCCAAGGTCCATCTAACATTACCTATAATATCCCTAGTACTATGACCTCTCTAAATCCAGCCTGCACATCTGGCAGTTCTCTGTTGACATATTGTTCCAAACTTTTTTTTATAATTTTCAGCAGAATCTTGCTTGCATGTGATATCAATGATACTGTTTGATAATTCCACACTCTGTTGGGTCACCTTTCTTTGGAATGGGAGCAAATATCGATCTCTTCCAGTCAGTTGGCCAGCTGGCTGTCCTCCATATTTCCTGGCACAATTTAGTGAGTACATCCAGGGCAGAGTCTGTTTGTTGAAATAAATCAATTAGTATGCTGTCTACTCCTGGAGCCTTGTTTGTTAAATTTTGCTATTCTTACTTGGTTGAAATGATATCTCATAGTTGTTTTGATTGGCATTTCTCTTAGAGCCAGGGATTTTGAACATGTTTTTCATGTGTTTGTTCACCACCTGAATGTCTTCTTTGGTGAAGTGTCTGTTCATAGCCTGTGCCCATTTTTCAATTGGGTTGTTTCCCTTTATTTTGTTGTGGTGTTTGAGTATTCTATAAATTCTGTATTTAAGTCCCTTATCAGATGTTATTACCAAATATTTTTTTCCCAGTGAAACCACTATGCAAGGCAGTGTGGAGTTTTCTCAAAATGTTAGATATAGAAATACCATTTGATCCAACAATTCCACTACTGGAAATATACCCTAAAGAAACCAGAATTGCTACCCAAGCACATATATGCACACTTATGTTTATTGCTGCTTTGTTCCCAAAAGCAAAGTGTTGGTAACAACTAACATGCCCATCAACAAACGAATGGATAGACAAGCTGTGGTATTCACACAAAGGAGGAATTAATGAAATATTATACAAAATGTGTGACCCTTGAGGACATAATGTTGAGTTAAATATCTCAGTCACAAAAGGATAATACTACATAATGCCACCGTTGTAAATCAGGACTGACATCAGGGTTGAGGTGAAACTAAGAAAAGGGGGGATAAATAATGTAAACTGCATTGATACAGATGAGGGAGAGAACTGTCTAAAAGGGATATATGATTAGGTATTATTTGTACAACAAGAGTCCAGGATAAGAGCTGCATAGTAAAGTGGTCTGGGGGCTAGGGAGGGATTGCATAACAATGAAATACTTTTTTTTGGTTTTCTTTTTAAAGAGAAAAGCAGACTTAGGAGAGGGGTCTGCAGGGAGGAAAATGTGCAACAATGAAGGAATAGGAATTCAAGTTCTCTATAATCTTTCATTAAAATTTCAATAAAAAATATTTTTTAAACCCTGAGAAGTAGTAAAGTGCATGCAAATTAGAAAGTTAAAAAAAAAGGAACCTTTAGTGGCTTCCTACTGCTAGGAGGAAATTACCTTGTCAACCCAAAGTCTTAAAAGTTTTAATTCACTAGCTGCTCTGCGGGAGAAAGGTGGACACTGTGCCTCTGAAAACCTACTAGAAGGTCAATGATGAGTTGGTTTCAACTAGATAGCAATGAGATGAGTTTGAGTATTTTTAATCCCAAAAATAATAGCTACTTTGAATAACTAGTGAGTAATAATAAAAACTGTAATACTGCTCTTAGACTTTCTGTATTCCTGATTTGCAATGTATTTCAAAATGCATTTCAAAAAAACTCTATTTGCAGAAAATATATTATGAAAGGGGCATTTCCTGAAAAGGCACACATTAGAAATTTCTTATGCACCACATTATCTTAAAAATAACAAAAAAAATTCTATTTGCTAAATGAAAATTAATTTTCAAATCCTTTCTTGGTAAAGACACGTAATTTTGTTTAATCTAGGATTTTCCAAATTGAATTGACACTGATTTGATGATTGCTGTAAAATTCCTTATAGTCTCAGTGTTACATATAAGATGTGGGAAATTCTGATGTAATGTTACTTTAATAAAAACACTTTTCAGCAAGCTAGAAAGTTTTTTTATTTTGTTTCCAGTCTTTTATCTACTTTTAACTATATCCACAGACACAAGAGCTATGCATCTTTTCCCCCAAAGGCTTCTTATTTCAGTTCTTCTATTTCCTCAACATCAGCCCCTGGGGTTTGTCAAATGGATATCACAAGTAGAATTTCCTCTTGTAACAATAAGCTTGTCAGATAGTAAAATAATACTACACTCAACCTAGTGCTAGATATCAGGCTTAGAAGAAGTAATTGAGTGTATTCAAACCTGATTTATGCCTCTCACATTTCTGTATGCACCTGTCGAATTGTTATTCTGCAACTGTGTTTTGTTAATGCTTACAACCTTAAAGCTTCATGTTTTCAGATGTATCTCTGGAGGCAGAGCAATTTTTCATCTAACTCCGGGCTGGAAGCAATGTTTTTTTAAAAAAGAAATTCCTGTAAAATACATTTCTAAAAATATATGAACACTTGCCTTCTTTTCAATATAACTAATACATGTTCTAGTAACATACATTATTTACTGAAATATTTTCAAACCTTATTTTGATAAAATACTTATTTACATGAAATTATATCCATCTTAACTTTCAGAGTAGAAAACATTTTTATAAAATCTCTCATTTACACTATTAGACCCATTGAGGTTGTCTTGTTATTAATTCTATTTTAGATATAAGAAGTTAATATTTTTTTAAAAAAAAAGGTTAACGTTTCCATATTTTTAGCTACCAAAGTGTCGAGTAGAATTTGATTGCAGGACTTCTGAGTCCATATCCTTCACTGTGTTGTATGTTGTGGAGATAAGAACCTAATGAAGCAGTGATTAAGCCGTCAATTATTACCTGAAAGGTTATAGTCTGAAACCCTTGCAGTATCTCTCCAAGAAAAAATATCTGGAAATCATCTTACTTGCTAAAACTGAGGAAAGCCTGAAGCATTTGCTGCAGAGGGTCAAGGACTATAATCTGTAACATGAATTGAAGCTCAACATCACCACTCAAGTTTATCACCACTGGGCCAAAATGGCAATATTATGATAGATGGAAAAAGATTGAGATTGTTAACAATCTCGGGTTGCTTGGTCCCAAAATCAATACTCTTGGCATAAGTAGTCAGGAAATCAAAAGAAAAATTTTGTTAGGAAAATCTACTGTCAGGGACCTACCTCTTCAGAGTGCTGAAGAGCAAGGATGCCAGTCTAGAGACTAAAGTGCACCTGGCTTCAGCAATATTGTTCAGCTTAGAAAGCTGGACAACCAATGACCAAGGATGACAGAAGAATTGATGCATTTGAGTTATGGTGATGGAGAAGAGTATTGAACCTACCGTGAATGACCAAGAGAACTAACAGGTTGGTCTTAGGATGAAACAAAGCTGCTTCTTGGAGGAAAGGATTTTAAGAGTCTATCTCACATACTTTGGACATTGAGGCCAGAGATACCAGTCTTTGGAAAAGGATATCATGATGGGATGGTTGAAGAAAAGCACAGGAGATGAAGGCCTTGGATAAGATAGGTTCACACAATAACTGGGTAATGAGCATAGGTGTATCAGAGACAGTGAGATTGGCTCAATATAGAGCAGGTTTCAGAGCTATTGTGCATAGGGTCACTATGAGTCATAGTAGATGACTTGACAGCACATAACAACAGCAACAACAAACCTCATAAAGATTACCTTCAAAAGCCTTGGAGGGTAGTCATAATTATTATCTGAAAAAAAAAAACCAAAAAACTGTAGAGCCTAACAATAACAACAGCATATTTGCATACCATCCATGGGTAGCACAAAGAGTTCACATTTGGTGGCCTGGTCCCGAAGGAATTGCACAGCTGCACTGGTACTCTAATGGTAAAAAGCTGCCCTGCAATCCCGGAGGCATATGGTCTGAATTCACCAGCTGCTCCATGGGAGAATGATTCTCCCATGTGATTAACTGCCTCTAAAAAGGCTTCACCTCTCTGGTGACTTGAATCCACCAGCAACTCCATAGGAAACAAATGACTAATTTCTTCTCAAGTAATGTAAAGCTTCAGAAATACAATGAACATTCAGTTATGAGTCAGATCTGACTCAAAGGCAATATTGTTGTTGTGTTTCATTGAATCAAAACCAAGCCACAGCTGGCCCTCCAGTGGATTTTCAGAGGCAGTTAATCACATGGGAGGATCCATCTTCCATGGAGCAGCTGGTGGATTCAAACCATGTGCCTTCAGGTTTACAGCCCAGCTTCTTACCACTAGAGCACCAGAGTTTCCTCAAAGGTGATGAGATTGAGATTTTTTGTTTGTTTTACTAACCTAAAAGTTATTGGTTCAATACCACCCAGAAGTGAAATTAAAGAAAGTTTGGAACCTATAAAGATCTCAGGCAAGGGCATTTTATGTAGCACATGTGTGAAGTTGCTGTGGGTCAGAATTGATAAATTAATTTGAGTTTGGCTACTGTATACATAATCTCTACATATATTACTTATTGTTTGCAGTGTTTTGATTGCATAACAGAAAAGTAGCACATTTACTGATTTTTCTTAAAAGAATTCTTTCTTGAATAGTGTGTAATTCTTATTTTCTAATTGTGCAGGGTTGGTGCAAATGTCCAGTTCTCCTGTGAGGATAATTACGTGCTCCAGGGCTCCAAAAGCATCACCTGTCAGAGGGTCACAGAGACACTTGCTGCTTGGAGCGACCACCGACCAATCTGTCGAGGTGAGTGCATGCTGTGGATCATGGCTCAGGAATTCTGTTACACAGGGGTCAGGAGTGGTTTACTAAACATACAAGGAGAGTCAAATGAAGCATTATAAATAGAGCAGTCATTAGGATTTTTTTTCATACTGTTGAAAAAATACGATTAATTTTTTTTTTAATTACAAGGACACCAAAAATTTCCCTGATATTGGTGGTTTCATGTTTCAAGAAAATAATGACTAAATCTAATAAGTAAATCTCCCTTTCTCTTTCTCTCTCTCTCACACACACACACACACACACACACGCTTGATACAACTCAGTATCCCCCCTCTTTATATAATATGATTTATTATGCATATATATGGATATATGTTACATAATCAGAAACTTTAGAAAGACCTATGTGTGCTTCTGAAAACCTAAATTTCCTTCAAACATAATTGAGTTTGTGTACTTTGGTTTTGATTAAATACATTAAATGGGTAGTTAATGTTACTGTGATTCCTAGTCACGATTTTATTAATAGATTACCTTAAACTAAACACTGACCAAGTTAACCAAGCAAAAATGTTGCAACATCATAATTATCAATGAAAATAATTTTAACATGTTTATAAACTATATAATTCCTTTCAGAATTGTAGAAGTCACAGTGAAAATATAAAAAATATTTTTGTTTTTAGATGCTGTTGAGTCTAGTACAACTCATAGCAGCCCTATGAACAAAAGATCTGAACCCTGTTCTATCCTGTGTGGTCCTCACACTTCTGGACACACAAGAGCTCATTGCAGCAGTCACTGTGTCAATCCACCTAGTTTAGAGTCTTCCTCTTCTTCACCGACCCTCCACCCTTCCCAGCATCATGTCCTTCTTCCAGTAATAACTCCTCCTAGAAACATGCCCAGAGTATGTGAGGTGAAGCCTCCAAAGAGCAGCCTGGCCGCACCCTCTCCAAGACCTATCTATTTGTTCTCTTGGACATCCATGGGAAGTTCAGTGCCCTTCGCAAACACCACAGCTCAAAGACATCAGTTCTTCTGTCATCCTTTTTCATTGTCCAGTTCTCAGATGCATAGCAAGTAATTAGAAAGACCATGACCTGAATCAGATGCACCTTAGTCTGCAAACTGACATCAGTACTCCTCAATAACTTGGAGATGTCCCTAACTGCAGATAATTATGGATTTTTCAAAATAGAAAAAGAAATGAAAATTAAAAGAAAAACTAGTTTTGAAAAAATATTCAAATAGGTATAAATGTTCTGAAGAGAAAATTAACAAAGGAAACAAGAAGGCAGAGATGCAATATAGAAAAGTATGTTTTTCCCCTGTAACTTTTTTAAGGTAAATGGATTAATTTCTTTTTACTACACCTGAAATTAAAAATACTATGTAGTACAATTTACTATAGAATACTATAACAATCTATGGTTTAGTGTTTGCAGCAGACACAGATTTGTCATCACCTGCACCTTTGAGGTAAGAGTTTGTGTGGAATGGCTTGCAGACTAATTGTTTCCTTTTATTTTTAGCATTTTGTTAGAAAGAGGACTTTCTTTGGTTTAAGAAACGAGAATGATTGTGTCTTTCAGCTTTAGTAGATTAAGTAGTTTAGTAGACTTTACAGGTTGTTACTAGATTACTGAGTTTATTTTCTACTATTGTAAGTGAAGCATAAAATAGTGTGTGTGTGGCGGGGGTGCGCGCATGTGTACACGCCCACGCGTAGAGTCTTTTTTTTTAAAAAATAAAATACGTTATTCTTTATTGCTTTTGTTACCTGATTGTGTAGGGGGATATCGAAAGAGTTATGCTTCTAACCTAATTAATAACCTAGTTATGCTTCTAATTCTAATGGATTAGTGGGTCTAATCCATCAGAGAAACTCTACAGGAGAAAGATGGGTAATCTTCCTCCATGTGATTCACAGCCTCCAAAAACTTGTTGGAGGATGAGCTATGAGTTGGTTATGACTGGAAGGCAGTAAGTTTTTTTTAAATAGCTAAAACTGCACTATAGTTATTTCCCCTCTCAAAAATCTAAAATCTTATGGAATAAAATACAAGTTTTTATCAGAGTCTGGCCTTGAACTACTTCTTGGACCTTACTAATCTCATTTGAATTCTCCTCTTCACTTGCTCGGCTTTGGCTAGACTCAATTCACTGCTACATAAATAACAAACAGGTCCAGCCTCAAGCCACTTGCTTGTTGCTCTACCGGTATCTACTCATCATACCTACTACTTTAACTGGCATGCACACTTTTTTATTTTTCCTGTTACTTTGTTCATTTTTCTTCAAAACATAATTCTCTGATATATTTGTATATTACTTTCTAGAAAGTCTTTAGAACACAAAATTATTACCTTATAAACATTTATACAAAGTTCTAAATGTGCAAAGCATTTCCAAGTGGCAAGCTTAGTGTAAAGCTCAAACTGAAACTTGTCGTTGTTGTTTTTATGTGGAAAGATTCAGGGGAGAAACTCAAAAGTAGCTGTGAAAACTGAGCCTGGTGCTGATTGTTGAACAGACCATCAACTGCGCATGCAAGTTCAAACTGAAGATAAAGAAAATCAGATCAAATCCACAAGAACAAAAATTTGACCTTGAGTTTATCCCACCTGAGTTAAAAAACTAACTCACGTTTGACGTATTGAACATTAATTGAGATCAGACAGGCTGTGGGAAGATATCAAGAATATATTCAATGAAGAATGCAAAAGGTCATTACAAAGACAGAGAAAGAAGAAAAGACTAAGTTGGATGTCAGAAGAGACTCTAAATACTGCACAAAACCCCTCAAAAATATTGAGACCCTTTTTTTTTATTGTGGTCCAAGATGATATCCAAATTCCAGGTAATATAATGGAAAGAGGTTAGAAAATTTCAGGGAAAATTCATCCTTTCATCTTAAGGAATTCCTCCAGAGAATTGTTTGACTCAATCCAGTCAGATACTCCTTTTTTTTTTTTTTCAAAAAGCTACCTTTAATGTAAAAGTTATGTTTGTACAGAGACTGCTATTTTACAAAACAGTGTTATTTTCTTTCTTCATTTACCTCATTCCTACAAATACTGTATTTTAAAGACTAGAAGGAGGATTCAGAGGGCCTGGATGCAAAGTCACAACATTGAAATTTCAATTCATGGCTCAACTTCCAAATACAGTACACTTTCCACTTGCCCACAAAGAAAGGTATAAGTGTGCACTAAATTTAGGTCAAAGAGGAACCACGTTAAAAAGCTTAGAGATGGGGAGGTGCAGGGGGGGGGATTGTGTACCAATGAGGGAGTTTTTCTTTTGCTTTTCAAGGAGAGGAGCAAATGGGAGGGGGAGGGGTTTGTGCGGGGAGAAGGGTGCAACAATGAATGAATGGAATCCCAAAATCTCTGTAGATGTTCATTGAAATGAAAAATAAACAACCTAAATTTAAAAAAAAAAAAAAAGCTTAGAGAGAGAGAAAAGGAGGGAGGGGATTGCAATTGTCTATAATATATATATATATATATATATTATATATATGTTAATTTTGAATATAAATCTCATACATGAAAGTGTTTCCCTGTTTTCTCTGTAGTTATCTGTCAGAAAAGTGGCTAAACTCTAACCTCCTTACCATCTTTACATTATCCTATTTAATTTGGTCTAGAATTTAAATTATAGGCAATATAGATGAAAAAGTAAAGCTGTTTGTCCATAATATCTCACGTTCTGGAAGGCAGAATGGTCATTTGTAAATAACTGCATTAAATGAGTAGTCTGTTCTCCACTTGAATACTTTTTCTGTAGCTTGTATATTTTAGCCACATGGCTCTCTCACAAAGAGAAGCTTACTTTTCTTCAAAGACATGCCCCCCCCCCCACTCTGTTACACCTACTCTGCCATTTCTGATTAGTGGTCTGAAATGACTACACAGGTCTCACAGAATATCTTGTCCCAGAGAACAATAGCAAGTCCCAGCAAGAGTGATCTAGAGAAACTAAGTTGTTAGTCAACAGGATACTACACTGCAGTTACCTATATTTTAACTCTTTCATGATGTATAGTATCCACCTACACTTTGCTCTCTGACAGTAAGTGAAACCATCAAGAAAAGGCTTGTATGACTCTTCAAAATGTAATAAACAAGCATGTTCCACAATTTATTGTTTCTAGAAGGTATTGTGGGAGATGGTGCATTAAGCTTCATCCTGTAGGAGTATATGTGCCCCACTAACATATATGAGAGTCCACAGGAAATATGTATTCTATAGGCCAGTGGAGGATATACAACAAACTGATCCTATGCCTTACAACCCACATGGAGCTATACGTGACCCACCAGTGCTACCCTCCATAGTCCAGAGCAACATATTCGATTCAGAAACAGTCAATGAGTCAGCATACATTCTGTTAATGAAACAAAACAAACGATTGTATCAAGAATTCAAAGCAAAAAAGAATTTTGCATTCAAAGACATTTCAAACATGCTATACTATGTAAGGAAGGAAGAATGGCATCCATTTCTGTAATAGCTTGCCTCCGGAAAGCCTAAGAATCTGGAGAGAGGATGAGAGACACACAAGTGTTGAGGACTCTCCTTCATCAGGTCACTGTGAGTCAACTCTAAGGCACTTAACAACAACAACAACAACATACTATGTATTATTTTAAAATATTTAATTAAATAAACAATTTAGTTAATTTTTAATTTAATAATATGTTCTATAATACTCTACTTCCAAATATTATTATGTTAGCATACAGCCAGTATATGTTTCTGTTGGTGGTGTAGATACACAACCTGTTTTACAGTAACAGTAAATCTTATTTAGACCCATCTCAATTTAAGTGATCAATGTAATAACTGGCTTTCCTATTGGATAACTTAAGTTTAGATATTGTCTTATTCTTCAGTCCTAGTTTTCTTCCTAAGTATGGAAAGTAATAAACACCCTTGTATGTGTGAAGGTGAGAAATGAGCTCAGTGAGTCACAACCTGTTTCCTGGCTGGCATCACTCACTGTAAAA